TTTCGATGGGATGAAACAAATGGTGGTGAATTATCTCTTCTAAAAAACATATTTAAATCATTAATATATTCTTAGTTAAGAATAATAAATACTAACCGATAATTTGAAGATGATGATGTTGGTAAATATCGATTTTGATCGATATCATTATATTGCGATGGAGGTAATTGTAGTGGACGATCACGTAAAAGTGGGAGTGGTTGAGAATTCGAGTAATACGAAGGTGGGCCTTTGGAAAGAATTGCTTGATCATCTAATAATGATGGATATATTTCACGATGATTTGATGATCGATCATAACGTGATGATGATGATGCTGACCTATTATCATAATAGTTTGATTGACTATTATGGCCATTATTAATTCGATTAGATGATGATGATGTAGAAGGATGTGATGAATGTGGATAATCATCATCATCATTATTACGATGATGGCGATAGTGTGTCGATGGACCATTTCGTGATAAAATAGGCCGAGAATTAAGTGAATTACGTGATGAACGATAATTATAACCATTATTTGGTGAATTTCTGGATGAATAATTACTATTATTATTATCATTATCATGTGTTGAATGTCCACTAGAAAAAAAAAGAAAAAGCTTTATCATTTATTTATTTGTATATAAATATAGATTTTATTTTACCGATAGTTTCCACGTGTCGATCGTTCGTCATAATTATTTCGACTTGTCGAATTATTATTATGTCGATCACGATATCGACCACGATAACTGTCACGTAAACGTTCCATATTAATAGCCTTTCATATAAAATCTGTGACAATCAACTAATACATACATTATCATAAATATCTGAAATAAATCTATTAGAAGAAGATCTATATTTTATTGATTCAACCAGTACACAAACTGTTAAATATACAGTTTTAGGCTGTTTTCGTAGAAAGTAAGCATATTGTTTTATCTTAACATTCATATATAAGTAATTTCAGCCAGAGTAGAACACTCGGTTATTACACTTCATTTTTGCACAGGTTTCTTTAGCTATGAATATACGTATATTAATTTTTT